CTTCTCTGCTAAACTTTTCTTTTGGAGTTTTCTTTGAAATAATGCAGAGCAGGTTTGATATGAGCAGGGTACCCATTATGTTGCGGATCTTTTTATCATTATACTGGCTTACATGCCAACCGGCCTTCTCCCCTCTAGTGTATGGACTGAAAATGTCCAAAATCCGCATCATATGCAAACGTCTTGCTTTTGGTAAAAGAATGTAGAATACGTACTGTGTGCCATCTGTCATCTAACAAATTGGTTGATTTTGAATAACATAAACAGAATAGACGTGTTAACAGTGACGATACCTGTGGCGTGTGTGTTTTAACTAAACATGTTTAAACATTTAGATAAAGTTGGTTTGAGTCCTTCATAAAAACCTGTGGTGGTAATTCTTCTTTTCGAATAAACACCTGAGGCAAGCACTTGTCTTTCTGTGGATTTTATTCAATCATCTGCAGATGGACTCACAGCAACACACATTACATGCTGTGTACATGTATGCTCGAATGAGTCACATGAGTCTCTCAGGTCTCAGTCCAGGATTACATGCCAAGTGTTTGGAGATGATATTTATTGAATTCCCTTTAAAAACCGTAAAGGGAATCTCAAGTTGAATTCATCTATGTTTAAAGGACTTACTGTTGATAAAGTCAATTTATTGTTATATTGTTAAAAATACTGTCTAGACTGTGTAGCTTCTTCATACATTTTTACAATGTTGATATGTGAGGCTGTAAAGCTCTTTGTAAAGAAAAGCAAGAGATGATAAAAGATCAGACCGTGTTTAACATGAAGAGTTCACCAAACATGTTGTGTATTTTTTCATCATTATACTTTCTCACTTGCCAACTGTGCTTTACCTCTCTGCCATACGGACTGAGAATTTCAAAACAAAAATGTATATGAAAGGTAAAAATAAATTCTCTTGAACAATACATGTCCTCTGCTTCAATATCAAGACAAAAAAAGATATAGTAGTTTGAAAATTGTTCTGTTAACAAGTATGATGTCTGCGTTATGTGTGAAATAAAGGTTTTAACATATAGAAATGGTGGGTCTGATTGCTTTCTATTAAAGATTTTGTTAGGTGTGATTTCCTGAAAGAACATCAAACAGCTTAGTAAGTTTATATGCTTGAACAGGAAGTATGGGGACTTTAGGACAGACTTAAGGCCCCTTTCACCCCTTACAAAAAATGCTAAATGGTTTAGTCATCTCTAAACAGTATAATCAAGCAGTAATGTCTTTCCCAAAGAAAGGGAAATCAAGGTACCAAAAAAGAAAACAAAGAAAGGAAAACAACTACCAACCAATTTCTTTCAAAAGAAAGGTCTGCACAATCACAACTTAAAGAGTTGAAGAATGGTTTAAGCTGATATCAGCAATTTAGATTGAAGGCAGGAATCTAGCTTGATGCATATTTGCATAGTAGGCTAGAACATAAATTATTATCAGCATCACACATTTAATTTTCTAAAGCTTTAATCATTTTGCTTTTAGGGCTACAAGCCTTTGAACCATGAACTTACACTGTGGGCTTGGACATAAAGGTAGATTAAATGTACTGAAATTATACAAATGGTAATGTAAAGAATATCATTTATTTAGCCTTGTTTGAAAAATCTGAGATCTTATGTCCCCACCAGTTTTTAACACAAAGTGACACCCTTGTTAATACTTGTTTAAAGGGTTCATTAGTGACTTCCCAAATCACCACCACAGTTGAATTTGTAGAGTTGTTAGCTCAATTATTTGTTCACAATTTTCAAAAGATGCGTGAGAGACAGGGACCAACAAAGAGACTGCTTGTATATAGGGCCCAGGGGGGGGTAGGGCATATTCCTCAAGCTCGGAGTTTGAGAGTTTGAGAGTTTTGACTGCAGATTCCGGGATGGGGTGTAGAGATGGAAAAGGCCCAGTGGGTACTGGGGGACAATGGCATGGAGGGATTTACAGCTGAGGTGGAGGATTTTATAGGTGATACGGTACTTGAAGTGAAGGTGAGTAAGGGTTGGAGTAATGTCCTGCCAGGGCCTGGTGTGAGTGAGAACCCTGGCAGCTGAGCTGACATTACTAATTATTTTTATTATTCTACAGATGTAACTTTAAATCAATTGTTGAATTCAAACAAATAAATGTGAAAAATTAAATTGTTTGGCCTGTGGGTACATAAAAATATATATATATATACGTATATATTTTTAGTCGAGGACAACTGAAGTTTGAAGATTTTTTCAGTTCTTCAGTTCTAAATGATTCCAGGTATTTTACTTCTATGGGGTCCTGATCAAAGTCATTGATACCAAGTTGTGGTTGGTGATCCTGGTTATTGTAACAACGGTCGTTGTTGTCTTTGGAGGTGGAGACAGCATTATATATGGGGGAAAAATGGTGCCATATGTCCACCCCTGTCTTCTCTATTCTTCCCCAAATACAGTAATGAATCACAATGTTATTGCATTTTTCCTCCTTGTCTTTAACTCTTGTGTGAAAGAAGACATGTCACAATTGTGGATGGGTGTGGGTATTTTAACAGCCTTGCTCAGGGGTCTCAAACCAGCAAATGCTAAGCTAAAGAGGACCTCGCCCAACGTGGGGCTCGAACCCACGACCCTGAGATTAAGAGTCTCATGCTCTACCGACTGAGCTAGCCGGGCCACATCTATCTGTGTGTGGCATACATATTGAAGAGGTCAGGAACCTCCACATTGGAGTATACAGAAGAAAAGCCCACACAGACCAGTACTTACTTAAGTAACTTACTTAATACTATCACCGCCTACAAATCTAACACTGTGGTTGGTGAAGAAAAGAGGAACAAAATGCTACATCGTCATTCCATACATGTCAGGAGTGTCAGAGAAACTCCACACCCTGTGTTTTTCAAACCCAGCAACACACTAAGACAGAAACTGGTCCACCTGAAAGACCCCGCCCCCAAACACAAGAAAAGCAACATAGTGTATGCGATCCAATGCAGTGAGGAATGCACAGATCTGTATTATTATATGTTAGACTCACTAATATGATAAATTCCAGGACAACACACAAAAGCATATAACTTCATCATGGTAACAGGGTTGACAAAACATTTTATTACCAGCCACTACAAGCCTTGTGGTAAATGTCAGGACCCCACAGGGTGATCATTCGTGTTATATGTACATTGAAAATTTCTAACAAATAACTTGTATGTTTTCGCGGTAACAGGGTTGACGCATGATGAGCTCGTCCCCCTCCATGAGACATTATGTTACTCGAAAAAATTCCATTAAAGGAGGTGACAGTTACTTGTCTTTGTGATGTCACTTCCTGGACATCACAAAGACAAGTATTTTTATACAAGTCAAGTCAAGACAAGTATAATTATGCAACCTTCGGAACAATCCATCTGCTTCAAAGGGGTGTTTTGATTGAAAGTAACAGGGTTGACAACAACACGGGGACCCCGCTAACTTGTTGTTTTTTGCAATATTTTACACATGTTAAGAATAAAACCTCTTCATGAGTAATGAAACAACACTCGAGGCTTTATATAGGTTTAAGTTTTTGTATGATAGTTTGACTTTTTTGGCCTCAATAGCAAGTAGAAGTAGAAAAATCATACTGAGGGCCATTTTCAACATTTCTGCAAGATGCTTTGCACAAAAAAGTGATTAAAATCCTTTAGAAACAAAAGAGACAACCGTTAATTTCTTATTATATGATGTTATATGATTATATGATGATACATATTATGGAAACTAAATTATAAAATATTTTAATTGTTTTATGATTTATTAAGATTTATAGAGATTTCTTTTTTCAGAGGGAAACAAAATGACATGTTTTTGTATAATGACCCTCAAACGTTTGAACTTAGATAAAGAGACATTGAGGGGCGCTATCTGCAATGGAAAACGGAGCACGGCAAGACCGAGTGGAGGCGAGTTGCGCTGGTACTGGTATTGGAAAAACGGCAGAGCGGTCAACCAGGCCTTCAGGACTCTGGGGCTGATACCATCATGTTTTATCAGACAACAACAAAAGAAAACTACCATTTGTGGGAGGAGCCAACAACCTGGCCAGCCACTGTAGCAGTGCGCTCCAGCTCTGATGTGGCCCTTCAGTTCCTGCTGTGCAGCACGGGCCTGCTCTCTTTAACTTACCCATTGTGTTGCAGGCACCCTCCCCTGTTCAGCAGTAGTATGTAGCTGCAGTACCGGAGGCTGCAGTTTAAGGACCGCAATCCAAGGACCGGAACTGCATTTGTAGGACGCTTGTTTTCTTTGATTCTTCTCTGAGATTAATGTAGTTTCACGGCTGTGGGCTCGCTGTAGCTTAGAATGAACATATACTGTGTTTCTGTTCTTGTGTTTTTGGTTGCTGAGGTTACAGAGGTTTGGGGATTTTTTTTTAAATCATATTCATTTTATCTTTTATTTTGGGTATTGATTTGAACAATTTATTATTTTTGAAGGTGAATGTAGTATTATTTCTTTGTACTTGATTTTTCTGGGGTTCCCCTGGTCAACTGTGTGCGTGTGCACGTGAGTGTGTGTTTAATGTAGATTTGTGAATAATAGTTGACCAATGAAGTGTATTGATCTGGCCCGGTACTAGCTGGTAACCTCGGTGTCAATGAGGTACCGAACAATAAAGTTGGCTTGTTCTATTGTGCAATATTTTATATACTGTTTATTCTCAAATTGCTTGTCTGCATTTTATTATTATATTAATAAAAAGCATCTTTAGTTTTGAACTCCCGTCTCTGGCTAAGTGTGTTCAAACCTGAGTGGCCTTTCTGTGTATCCTGAGTATTTAAGTATTTAAATCTCTTAATGATTTCCTGCAGGTGAAATTCCTCCAGGTGGCGCAGTTGAGTGTGGTGAGCCCTCCAAACTGCTCCTCCATGTAGTGGTGGAAATATATAATGAGTTATTGTAGTATCAGCTTTTGGCCACCAGAGGTCAGTAAGCGCCCATATGTCACCTCTGTGTGTGGCCTGGTCTCGGCCGCTGGGGGGCGCTCCCTCCCCTGGTCCTCAACGGGGGTCTGATGGCAGGATGGCGGAGGTAGGGGGACCGGAGTCTGCCGCGGCCCGGTGCCCGGACGAGTCGTCGGACAGCGAGCCGGAGCAGGAGCCCGGAACCCCGCAGAAACTCATCCGAAAAGTGTCCACGTCCGGCCAGATCCGCAGCAAGGTAAAGAGGGTTCGAAGCCCCGGCGGATCTCAGCGCACATTCTCTCTGCTCGGTGTCTGTTTTCATTCAGCGGGGTTGGGCCACACAGCCCCGAGATGCACCGGTGTCCTCCAGTGATAGAACGGCTCGCAGAACTCCATACGAAAATCTATCAGTTTAACATTTCCTCCGTTAGGAGACAAATTATACACAATGTCCACTGTCAGTTAAGATCTTTTCCGACCACACAGGGGCTGCTGTGTAATACGGCATAAACCAGACACACTAAACTTCTCATGTGTTTATAATATGTCATGTTTTGTTACCGGTTTGACACCTTTGGCCCCCCTCACATCCTCTTCCTACACTAATGGGAAAGTTACTCAGTGGTAGGCGGCAGCGAGCGGCTGAGGCGTTATTTAAATAAAATCGCTGCTGCTTGGTGGTTTTGGATTATGCCGAAAAGAAGAGTGGGTGTATTTGAACCTTGAACGACTTTAATTGTTGTTTTTGATTTTGCAAATTTTTTTTAATGAGCGATGTCACTTGAAATCTGACGGATTTTATATGGAGTTTGGATCCAGTCTTCTGTCTCCGAGAGCAAACGGTATATTTTGGGCTAAGGGCCACAGCTGCTGCGCTTCACACAGTGCGCGAAATAAGTTGTAGTTACCAAACTCTTGATTTTAGTCGATACCCGGGTTAAAACATAATGTAGGGACATAACTAAACGCTGGAAGCTCCGGGTTTTTTAAAATGTGAATGTCTTTAACCGGAAATGTAACGTTAGCTCTTTGCTAACTTAATAAAACCAGAACCAAAACTGGGTCTAAACTTTACTCAGACCTTTGTTCTGGGAGAAAGTGTATCCAGGACGCAGCTACAGCATGTAAATACAGCCCAGTGTTGTGGGGGGTGTTATTTGCACCGTTAAACGATAAGAAATCGGTAATAAAGCCGAAGCTGAACCGGCTAATTCCTGCTAGCTGAAGGGTCTCGGGCCAAAAAAGCCCCGCTGTTTCCCACCGCCGCCCACCCGGGAGGGGGGCTGCACTCTGGGGTGACAGTTGGGGGGATGCTCGGTCGGAAAATCCGCTTTATTAGACATAACGGTCCTCAGTTATTATACAAGTTTATGATGTGGGGTTATAACCCTCATTTATAACGTTTATATCAGCAGACATGTCGGTAATTAACGAGCAGATTGCTCAACTCGACAACGTCATTTAATTTATACAAGCGGGTCTTTATTTAGCTTCACTACCAGCGATGTGCTGCCTTCACGTGCGCCTCAGAAGCGCGGAAATACCTGCACTGAACCAGAAACAGAATCACCTTTAGTCGCCAGGTATGTGTGCACACAAAACACACAAAACAAGCATAAACAAACAACAAGCTCAACACAAACAGATACAAGAAGAACAGTAAACAAAAACAGTGGGAAGAAATAGTGCGACATAGGGCTGGACAATAAAACAGGAACATTATTTATTGCAATAAAAATTTTACAAATGTTAAATAAATATTTTATTTCATTCACTTGAATCACACACAAATTAGGACTTAATTTTATTTTATCAAGATGGGGTTTTTTTTGTTGAGGAAAAAGGATTTAAAGAAAGCTTTTGCACATCTGTTGACAAAGACTTGACATGATTGTTTTCAATGTTCTGCCTCAGATTTGTGAAGTGATCCACTGTTTGGCTTCAAGTGTTCTGACCATAAAGACGAGTTCAAACCACAATTAACCATCAGGTGTCTTCAACTTTCACTCAGGAGTGAAAATAAGCCTTTAATTATATGATTAATCATCAATATCGAAAGATGTGAAACTTTTTACCTTGATAACATTTTTGGCCTTACTGTCCAGCCCTAGTGCAAAGGATGCTGGTATAAATAAAAAAGAAATTGCAGTAATTATGCAACATTATATGTACATGAGGTTGGTGGATGTGATACATTCAGGATGTACAAGGTTGTTAATTTGTCATTATATAACGAAACCAAAGTTTGGAGTCCCTTAGGCTATAAACTGAGTCCATGACAGTAAGGTCTCCAGCTGAAACATATACGTATATTTTAGGATGTGGTGCATCACTGGGAATTTAGATCTAAAATAGACTTTTTAAAATATGGCTTTCCAAAAAAAGTGGTCTCTTGGGGGTCTGTGACATCAGTGGCATTTTATCATGCAAACTCAAACGGCAGGTCCCAACATTTAATTGCATTTAGTAGCGAAACATCGCAGCTGTGTCTCCTGGTTGTTTCTTATAAATGCATCGCTTTAAAGTCATCCTGTTGATCTTCACGTCCCGTGCGTCCTGATTGTACCTCTCCCCACGAGAGGAGTCGAAGCCTGACGTGATGGCTTCTGGTCTGAAATACATAATGTCACATAAAAATGCAATGTAATATTACAGTCAAATATCTTTTGGCTCAAATGACCCCGTCCCCGCCATTTTAACAAAACTGTGTCATCCGCTAACGGTAGAGCCTCATATTGTAACTTCCTAAAGCACTAAGACATGGCGTAAGATTTCAAACCCGTCTGTAATTGTTCAGACACAAGAATCACGACTCCTGAACATAAAAAATCACTTTGAGGCCACAGCAGCAAAATAAACACGATGGCAGGGAGTTTTATGGGAGCCTAAAGTGGGAGGAGGGCCCCCGCTGGGGGGTCCAGGCTGCTTCAGGGGAGGCTCAGTGGAAAAATATTACATTAGTTATGAAAAGGAGGTCACACAGAATATCCTAAAGCGTGCGATCTGGATGAAGAGAGAGTCGGAGAGACAGTAGTTTGGGCCAAAATGCTAGTTGGCGGTTTCCATGTTCCACAGCGTTCCTTCTTCTTCGTTGGTGCAGGCGAGATCGGTGTTGAACAGCAGTTTCTGTTAGTGAAATTATTAAAACGTAGAAACGAGAGAAGGCGTCGGAGGAGAAGAGAAGAAGAACAAGGACGACCAATCGCAGTTGTTACGGTCTGCGTCGCCGCGACTGTCGTTACATTTTGGGGAGTTGTGTAGATTCAACCCAGAAGTATTAATTGGCCTTAACAAGGTGAGGGGCGCCTTTTTCCAAGCTTTGTCTGAGGCGACAGTCCCAGGCTTTATTCAAATGAAAATGAAATCCGTCGCTCCTCATTAAGGCAAATCAGCGTTGACTTTTTATTTTAACGCACACCACGAACTTTTCTAAACCGAATCAAAGCACGCCGGAGCTGCTTCGCTTATTGAATTTGAATATTATCTCCGTACAGTGGCAGAACAAAGTTAATTTCTTTCTGAAGTTACCGCTATCTAGAGATGCACCGAATGTTCGACCACCGAAATCAATCGGCCGAAAATAGCAACAATAGCACTTTCGGTGTTAATCAGTCAAAACACCGAGTATTAATTTTACCAAACTACTGCGTTGCCATGCCGGCAGTGTGGAAGCATTTTAAAGTGTCCGAGCCGTTTGCACATAAACTGAAATAATGTGAATGTTTGGTATTCTGCAATTTTTTCCGTTATTTTCAGTTTGGTGCACCGCTGCCGTTAACGTTTTAATTTAGTCCCCTATAGGCTTCCATAGAGTTTTAATCACACTGAAGACCATTTAAAGCCTTGGAGTAGAGCTTTTTTATTAGAGACTTTTGCTGCCCTGACAGGAGAGACGTTCGTCGTGTCGTTAACACCTGAGCATTTACACCTTCAGCCCTTCACAGAGAGGTTCATTCGTTCACTCAGCAGTGTCTCTGATGCTGCAGTCTGCTGCGACGTTGCTTTACGTAACACCTCCTCTTTGTCTGAAGAACCTCCATTCTCAGTTTTAAACATTTATTTAGTCTTTATGTCGATGCAACATTTTAACTACAGGCCCGACCTTGTCCCACGGATGTCAGGATGCGTGCTGACCCCGAGGCCCGTCAGGTCCGACGGCCCTTGAAGGCAGCTCAGCTCAGACTGACGTGGATGTTTGTGTCACAGGAAGCGAGTTTGGCTGGAGGCCGCCGAGTTTCTATTTAAAGCCGATGTTTTGGGAGATTTCACAGTCTGAGACAAAAACATGATAAATGAGTCATGTGGGAAATAATGAGATGTTTGTGTTCAGGAGGAGGAAACTCGTTTAAAGGCCGACCGCTGCGTCAGAGTCTCAGGAATCCATCAAGTCCTTTTACAGACGTCCAGATGTTTCCGTCACATTTAAAACCAGCTCTGTGGATCTATAAATGGGGAAACATTAAAATACATTTAATACATGGTGCTTAATTAAATTCAGTTCAGCTTTATTGGCATGAATGTAAAACAACAATATTGCCAAAGCTACAAATAAATGACAAAAGAACAATTAATTTCATACATTTCATTAGATAAGTAAATAAAAAGCATGTGTTTAAAAAAAGAATATAAATAATATATATAAAGGAAAAATAAATATTACAATTTTATTAATAATAATATAATAGATTAAATAAAGTTATAATATAATAAATAATTAATTAAACAGTAAATGTGTGTGTGGATATTAATAGACAAAAAATAAAAATCAGTATCAAATGTGAGATTTAAAAAAAATTAATAAAGGAACAGTTACTAAAATAACAAACAATGAAAATAATAATAATTTGAAATTTTATAGAACAAATGCACATAAGATAAGATATATACTGTTATTAATCCCCCGGAGGGGAAAGTCAGGGAGTGGCGATGTTTCATTTGTGTACCTGTGTCTCTTTATTTTATGTTTGAAGCTGCTGTTGTGTTTCATTAAGGTGTTTAAACTGTGCAAACCTGTCTAGTGCAGCAGAGACAGCTCATGGTGTTGGTGCATCATGGGTAATGTAGGCGGTAGACTTTGTTACTGTCTGTGCCGCAGACAGGGATAAGAATGTTTAAAGAATTGATTATCAATACTTGTTTTATGTTGATTGTCTAATCAGGTGTCCGCTCTAATGAACATTAAACTGATTCTACTATAAAATATAGCAAAAACAAGTTTGTGTAAAAACAACAAAAGAGTCAAAATCAACTCCTCCAGCGAGGAAACTATCATCATGTTGTTTTTATTAAACGTTAGATAACTGCAGTCAGTCGGAGCCAGCAGCTGTTTGACCTGCAGCCTTTAAATAACCATGAAGGGAACTCGGGACCTGAGCGGCTGCTGTTGTCGACTCCGTCACAAGACGAGTACAGTCGAGCGTTTGTCCCCCTGACGCCGGTGAGGCACGAGCTGTGTGATCCGTAAGGCTGAGATGATTTGTGAGCTCAGTTCGTCACGTTGAAAATCATCTGTCCTAATTCATCTTGTTGTAAAATGTAAAAACTCACACGGTCAGCTGAACGTCCAGCTGTTTAAAATGAAGTATTCAGTCGTGTTTTTATGTACTGTAATATTATTATTTCAATATTTCAGTCACCTGTGAAAACATCCCATAATTATGTTTTTTCAGTGTGTTGATGAAAAGTGTTCCAAATTAACTTCATAAAGCAACGAAACCAAAATCCATCCAATCCATACATCCAACACGAGACAGCTACTAACCTAAAATAAACACTTTCAGCCGACCACACTAAATGCTCAGAATATTCAGTCTCACATAAGAAGAATTAAACCCATTTATTCTACCGGCTGTGTGGAAAAATAACCAATATAAAACTCAGTGAGAAGACTTCCTCTCACCTACCCGGCTTTATCAGTCTCTGTAGGATGATGTCGCTCTACAGAAGTTTCTCTGCAGCGAACATAAATCAGCCTGTGCTGATGAACTCCGCTGTGTTGCAGACGGTGCTGAAGGAGGGCAACCTGCTGAAACAAACCAACTCGTTCCAGCGCTGGAAGAGACGATACTTCAAGCTGAGAGGGAGGACTCTGTACTACGCTCAGACTGCCAAGGTGAGCCAGGCTGCAGGACAGGGTCACAAGGTCACCTGCCTGCCTGTTGTCCATGCCTCCCCCTCCTGAAGGTGAGGTGCTGATGTCGGTTCAGGTTTGATCTGTGGTGTTTTTTCCTGTCTGTAGTCGATAATCTTCGACGAGGTGGACCTGACTGACGCCAGCGTGGCCGAGTCCAGCACCAAGAACGTCAACAACAGCTTCACGGTGAGTAGAGCTGGAGAGTGATGTGGACCGTGAGCTGGTGAAGCCATGTGGAAAAGAACACACCTGTGGTATTTTGCATCAGATAACATTAGCAACTGGTCAGCGTTGGTTTTTATCCATATGTGGAGTCAGCGTCGGGGAGTCGGCATCAGGAGTCGGCGTTGTGCTGGGTCCAGTAGTTTTGTGGTCTTTGTGGTCGGTGTCAGGAGTCAGTGTAGGGGGTCAGTGTCGGGGAGGCGTTGTGCTGGGTCCAGTAGTTTTGTGGTCTATGTGGTCGGTGTCAGGAGTCAGTGTAGGGGAGGCGTTGTGCTGGGTCCAGTAGTTTTGTAGCTTATCTTTAGACATTATCAGATACATCTAGTGGAGTAATTTCCGCCTAACGGCGTGTTTGCTGCATAAATTAATTATTGATCAGAATTATGTCATTTTACACAAATTATCTTTTATAATAAAGATATAATAAGAATTTAATCTGAAACTTAACCTTAAGAGTCTTATTTTGGTATACTCTGTCACTTCCTGCTGTAAAAGCGGTGGTGTGTTTGGGAGTGGGGGGGGTGGGAGTCGGGGTGACGACAGACAGGAAGTAGGCTTGAGTCATACTTGGGGATGTGGGCGTGGCCAGTAGAGAGAGAGAGAGTGAGCAGCTGAGGAGCGATAGACCATCACTGTAACTCAGACCAGAACCAGCTCTCCTCAAGATCTGAACCCTGCTGGATCAGGACTCTGGATTTGGACCAGATTGTGGAGTGGATTTTTGAGCCAGACAGATTCAAAGCGGCGTCTCTGTGTTTCTGGGTGACGAGTCGAGGATCAGACGGTAAGAGAGCTAATTGGTTTAAATGATGGACACAGCTGTTACAGGCCTGGTGATTAGGGGCTTACTAACATCATGGACTCATGTGAAACGTCTCTGAGAATCCAGAAATGTGAGCAGGAAATAAAACGTCAGAAGCGACATCAGCAAACAACTGAAACAGAGAATCAATAATCAGATTGATGGTTTTATTTGTAAAAGTTATTCTGCCTATAGATTCACAGCAGAGAGGAGAGCGCGTCACCCCGGTTTCAACCTCCCGTACTCTCTAGGATTCATTTTAAGATTTTAAAATGGTTTGGCGCCTTCTTATTTGTCAGAACCTTTACATGTTCACACTCCTGTCACAGCCCTGAGGTGGTCCGATCAGATGCTCCTCCACCTCCCCTGATCCAGGTTAAAAACTAAAGGTGACCGAGCCTTTTCAAGGAAGAACTGCTCGGACTGCTGACATGTTCAAGTTCTTGTGTAAGACTCACCTCCATCTGTTGCGCTGGACTTCCTGAGCAGGTTTTATTGTTCTTTAGTTTTAACCTTCATGTTGTTAGTGTGGACGTGAGGACAGAGAGGAAGAGGAGACTGTGTGAGGGAGTGAAGTTGGTTTTATATATTAAAGATATTTAAAGTACACGCTGTACTCCTTTTCACAGTTTTATACCTTTGCATTTAAAGCCATTAGAGAATGGAGTGACGACACACTGAGCTCACCGGACGACATTTAAACACAAATTTTAAGAAATCTTCAATGACAGAATATCTGAAACTGAAAGTCACAAAATGCAAAACAGTGCAGGTGCATTTTGTTTCTTGTCTCGTCTGTCGGCGTTTATTGTTTCCACCTGTTACCAACACGCTGCCACGCAAACTGTTTAAAAGTGGCGGGGGGGCGTCTTCTCTGCTAACTTCAGCAAGTTGAAGTGGAAGTGTAATGAGTTACTTTTTACTCCTTAAAAAAAGTTAAGTCCTCAAAAAGTGACGGCGGCCTGTTCAGCAGCTCGTTTTAGAAATGAATCCACTTTACTGGAACAATAACGAACCTGACAGAGCCGGTGATGCTGGGCAGCAAGGGAATAGTAAACCTTACAGTACTAGTTACTGGGGAGAGTAGTAATACTGCAGTAACTGAGTAACTGTCCAACGCTGTTAACGAGGAATATCGTCACGTTTTAACATCCCGAGATCTCGTTCCAGCACTGAAGCCAACGTTTGTGTCTTTGCCGAAGCACGAGGAAGTTTCTGCTTCTCACTGTCAGATTACTGAAGTCAGGCGGGGGGGCTGGCGGTGTTAGGTACGTTTAGCATAACAAAAACTAAACAAATACAAATGAATTATAGCAAATTAATTTATTATTTACATGCAGTGTGTGTAGAACTGCAGCTCTGATCCTTTTAATGATATAATTTTCAGTTCCAGATAAATAAATCTGATCTATCATTCAGACTCTTGTCGGATCAGGTTCAACTGACAGCTACATGTTCCTGACTGACGCTGTGCTGCTGAAGCCTCCCTGTCCTCCCTCACTTTCTTCTCTCGCTTCAGTCTTCAGACCGTGACGCGGTGGACTCGGTACAGATCCTCTGCAAATATTTGCTCATTATTTCCAGTCACACCGGGTCAGATGAAGCTCCGCTCGCCTGCCGTCATGCGACAGGAAACACAGGCTCGGACAACATGTGATCTGCATATTGTGTGCCTGTACGTCTTACTGTTCAGAAATACTTTTGTTACTTTCATGTCAGCGTATAAGGAATGGAAATAATAGATAGAAAGTAGGTAAGTAGAAAATATGATAAAATATAAATAAATATAAAGGAGTACTGGTAGAAGTATTGATTGAGCGAGTGGTCCAGCGGAGCCACATGCAGCAGGTGATTAGAACTTAAAGTGAAGCTTATGGACCAGAGGTGCACAGAAGAGGTGGAGGACTTGACCAGGATGAGCTTTATTACTGCAAATCTTTTCCAGAAACATAAATACACCCCAAAAAATAAATCCAGAGTTTAGAGTTTAATCCTGTGGAGAACGGGCAGGATTCACGAGAAGCTCACCGTCAAAGCAAGCCGGCACCACCGAGGACCCACAAATAATAAATAAGAATAAGTACAGGACGCCTTTGGTAATATCCACACTCACAAGATGAAACTGAAATACAAGCGGGGCTGAAATCAAAAGCTTCAACACCAAACGTGCAGTTTAATGTTTAAATCGCTAGTTGCCTTAAATAGGCAGTTTTCCTGTGGGAGTTCTGCATTGCAGCCTGGTGGGAAGCCAGCAGGAGCAACGCCAGCAGGTCACGCTAACTGCTATGCTAGCAGGAGGTGTTAAGTGACACAATATCAGAAGAGACAGAATTATTATTATTGTGTTTTATTGTTGTTGTGGTCGTTGTAGTCGTCCTCTACTCAACCAAACACAGACAGTTCTGCCCCTTAAACCCCCGAAAGAACCTGAACTTGGGTTTATTATCGCCTCCAGAGCAGAGCCCAGATTTAGACCCAGGAATCGGGACAAACAGAACCATGTTAGGTTCTGGTTCCACAGGTTCGTGCAGTGCTGAGCACTGATGTGAACCCTGTTTTCTGAAAGTCCTGCACACGTCGTTGGTTTGAATGAATGTGAACGGAGCTCTGAGCCTCAGCTTTTATTTTTATCGCCAGGCTTCACGTCCTTTGTATAAATCTTCTGGCTCCTGAGGACGAGGGAGGAGGAGAGTCAGAGGTCGGAGCTGCTCGTTAGTTTTTAACACGTTCAAAAGGAAAGTTTGGAATAAAAAGTGACAGCAGGACGTCAAACAGGAAGCCGCCGCCATACGACTACACAGACGAGTGTTTGTTCTGTCAGACCCTCAGGTGTTGTTTCAAAAACAGAGTCAGATCTGCTGGTGTGTGTGTGTGTGTGTGTGTGTGTGTGCGCACGCTCGCTCGCAGGTCTATTTCTGTCTTTGTGGGAAACAGACGCTTCATTGTGGAGCAGCTGAACAGGAAGTGGAAGTCTGTTTCTCTTAAAATGACAACCACACACACTCCTGCAGTGTTTTATTCATATAACCAGAACAATGGGCAACAACAGCACTGTGTGTATGTGTGTGTGTGTGTGTGTGTGTGTGTGTGTGCGTGTGCGTGTGCGTAGGTCATCACCCCCTGCAGGCGTCTGATTCTGTGTGCTGACAACAGGAAGGAGATGGAGGAGTGGATGGCGGCTCTGCGCAGCGTCCAGAACCGACAGAACTATGAGGTGAACTGCGTGATTAATACTGGTGGACTGATACGGGTTTATGAAAGGCCGATGTCAATATTTAGAGCGCAGAGATCTATTATGCAGATATCAGAACAGATACAAGTCCTGTATTATTGTGTTATTATAATATTAGAGTCGAATCTAATATTATAATTAAACCTTAAACTTTATTTGCAGAGCCGTTATCAAACAAAGCACAAAGGGCCTCACAGAGAGAGACAGCAGCATGTTGTATTAATGAATGAAGCAGAAACACACTGAGTTCTGCTTCATTCTGAAGTTTAAAGGAGAGCTGCTTTGCTCTCTACAGTAGATCTTTATCCTCTGTTAGATTTGCTTCATGTGATGTTATGTGTTGTTCTTATATGTCGCTCTGCTACTATCTAGGTTGTTTTTATTATTCAACTATTGTGCCGTTTGTTGTATCGTCTACTCTCTGTAGATCGTCTTTTATCATGTTTCTTATCTGTCTTTTAATTTTTCTCATCTGGTCTCTTTGTGTCCTTGTCCCTGGTTTTCAGGTTGGTTGTTGTGACTGAGTTGTTGTCCTGCGTCCTCCGTCTGTTGCTTTATGTTTTTATTTAATCCCAGTACCCTTTCCCACAGGAGGCCTTATGTCTCCAGCCAGGCCGTTATTGTAAATAAGAAACTGTTCTTAATTAAAATACATGTATAATAAAAAAACAAACTTAAAAACACTTAGATCAGAGCTGCTGTATCAGCCAGATATCGGCCCAGTACCAGGTTCTGACTGTCTCTGTGTCTCCCAGTCCACCCAGTACAGCATGGACCACTTCAGCGGGATGCACAACTGGTACGCCTGCTCTCACGCCAGACCGACGTACTGTAACGTCTGCAGAGAGGCTCTGTCAGGAGTGACATCACACGGCCTGTCCTGTGAAGGTGCACGCAGTACACACGCAGTACACACGCAGTACACACGCAGTACACACGCAGGACACACGCTGTAGAAACGCAGTACACACGCAGTACACACGCAGTACACACGCAGGACACACGCTGTAGAAACGCAGTACACACGCTGTACACACGCTGTAGAAACGCAGTACACACGCAGTACACACACAGTACACACGCAGGACACACGCTGTAGAAACGCAGTACACACGCTGTACACACGCTGTACACACGCTGTACACACGCTGTAGAAACGCAGTACACACGCTGTACACACGCTGTACACACGCTGTACACACGCTGTACACACGCTGTAGAAACGCAGTACACACGCTGTACACACGCTGTACACACGCTGTACACACGCTGTACACACGCTATAGAAACGCAGTACACACGCAGTATACACGCAGGACACTCGCAGGACACACGCAGTATACACGCAATATACACGCAGGACACTCGCAGGACACACACAGTATACACGCAGTATACACGCAGTATACACGCAATATACACGCAGGACACTCGCAGGACACACGCAGGACACACGCAGTACACACGCAGTACACACGCAGGACACACGCTGTAGAAACGCAGTACACACGCAGTACACACGCAGTACACACGCAGGACACACGCTGTAGAAACGCAGTACACACGCAGTACACACGCAGGACACACGCTGTAGAAACGCAGTACACACGCTGTACACACGCTGTAGAAACGCAGTACACACGCAGTACACACACAGTACACACGCAGGACACACGCTGTAGAAACGCAGTACACACGCAGTACACACACAGTACACACGCAGGACACACGCTGTAGAAACGCAGTACACACGCTGTACACACGCTGTAGAAACGCAGTACACACGCAGTACACACACAGTACACACGCAGTACACACGCTGTACACACGCAGGACACACGCTGTAGAAACGCAGTACACACGCTGTACACACGCTGTAGAAACGCAGTACACACGCAGTACACACACAGTACACACGCAGGACACACGCTGTAGAAACGCAGTACACACGCTGTACACACGCTGTAGAAACGCAGTACACACGCAGTACACACACAGTACACACGCAGGACACACGCTGTAGAAACGCAGTACACACGCAGTACACACGCAGGACACACGCTGTAGAAACGTAGTACACACGCTGTACACACGCTGTAGAAACGCAGTACACACGCAGTACACACACAGTACACACGCAGGACACACGCTGTAGAAACGCAGTACACACGCTGTACACACGCTGTACACACGCTGTACACACGCTGTAGAAACGCAGTATACACGCAATATACACGCAGGACACTCGCAGGACACACACAGTATACACGCAGTATACACGCAGTATACACGCAATATACACGCAGGACACTCGCAGGACACACGCAGGACACACGCAGTACACACGCTGTAGAAACGCAGTACACACGCAGGACACACGCAGTACACACGCAGGACACACGCAGGACACGCAGTACACACGCAGTACACACGCAGGACACACGCAGGACACACGCAGGACACACGCTGTAGAAACGCAGTACACACGCTGTACACACGCTGTACACACGCTGTACACACGCTGTAGAAACACAGTACACACGCAATATACACGCAGGACACTCGCAGGACACACGCAGTACACACGCTGTACACACGCTGTAGAAACGCAGTACACACACAATATACACGCAGGACACTCGCAGGACACTCGCTGTACACACGCAGTACACACGCAGTACACACGCAGGACACACGCAGTACACACGCTGTACACACGCTGTACACACGCTGTAGAAACGCAGTACACACACAATATACACGCAGGACACTCGCAGGACACTCGCAGGACACTCGCTGTACACACGCAGTATACACGCAGTATACACGCAGGACACTCGCAGGACACACGCTGTACACACGCAGTATACACGCAATATACACGCAGGACACTCGCAGGACACACGCTGTACACGCAGGACACTCGCAGGACACACGCAGTATACACGCAATATACACGCAGGACACTCGCAGGACACACGCTGTACACACGCAGTATACACGCAGTATACACGCAATATACACGCAGGACACTCGCAGGACACACGCTGTACACACGCAATATACACGCAGGACACTCGCAGGACACACGCAGTATACACGCAATATACACGCAGGACACACGCTGTACACACGCTGTACACACGCTGTACACACGCTGTACACACGCAGTATACACGCAATATACACGCAGGACACACGCTGTACACACGCTGTACACACGCTGTACACACGCAGTATACACGCAGTATACACGCAATATACACGCAGGACACTCGCAGGACACACGCTGTACAAACGCAATATACACGCAGGACACTAGCAGGACACACGCAGTATACACGCAATATACACGCAGGACACTCGCAGGACACACGCTGTACACACGCAATATACACGCAGGACACTCGCAGGACACACGCTGTACACACGCAGTACACACGCAGTATACACGCAGTATACACGCAATATACACGCAGGACACTCGCAGGACACACGCTGTACACACGCAATATACACGCAGGACACTCGCAGGACACACGCAGTATACACGCAGGACACACGCTGTACACACGCTGTACACACGCTGTACACACGCTGTAGAAACGCAGTACACACGCAATATACACGCAGGACACTCGCAGGACACACGCTGTACACACGCAGTATACACGCAGTATACACGCAGTATACACGCAATATACACGCAGGACACTCGCAGGACACACGCTGTACACACGCAGTACACACGCTGTAGAAACGCAGTACACACGCTGTACACACGCTGTAGAAACGCAGTACACACGCTGTACACACGCTGTACACACGCAGTACACACGCAGTACACACGCTGTACACACGCTGTAGAAACGCAGTACACACGCTGTACACACGCTGTACACACGCTGTACACACGCTGTAGAAACGCAGTAGAAACGCAGTACACACGCTGTACACACGCTGTACACACGCTGTACACACGCTGTACACACGCTGTAGAAACGCAGTACACACGCAATATACACGCAGGACACTCGCAGGACACACGCTGTACACACGCAGTATACACGCAGTATACATGCAATATACACGCAGGACACTCGCAGGACACACGCAGTATACACGCAATATACACGCAGGACACTCGCAGGACACACGCTGTACACACGCAGTATACACGCAGTATACACGCAATATACACGCAGGACACTCGCAGTACACACGCAGTATACACGCAATATACACGCAGGACACTCGCAGGACACACGCTGTATACACGCAATATACACGCAGGACACTCGCAGGACACACGCTGTACACACGCAGTATACACGCAGTATACACGCAATATACACGCAGGACACTCGCAGTACACACGCAGTATACACGCAATATACACGCAGGACACTCGCAGGACACACGCTGTACACACGCAATATACACGCAGGACACACGCTGTACACACGCAGTACACACGCTGTAGAAACGCAGTACACACGCAGTACACACGCAGTACACACGCAGGACACACGCAGGACACACGCTGTAGAAATGCAGTACACACGCAGTATACACGCAGGACACTCGCAGGACACACGCTGTAGAAATGCAGTACACACGCAGTACACACGCAGGACACACGCAGGACACACGCAGGACACTCGCAGGACACTCGCAGGACACACGCTGTACACACGCTGTAGAAACGCAGTACACACGCAGGACACACGCAGGACACACGCAGGACACACGCAGTACACACGCTGTAGAAACGCAGTACACACGCTGTACACACGCTGTACACACGCTGTACACACGCTGTACACACGCTGTACACACGCTGTAGAAACGCAGTACACACGCAGGACACACGCAGGACACACGCAGTACACACGCAGGACACACGCAGTACACACGCTGTAGAAACGCAGTACACACGCTGTACACACGCTGTACACACGCTGTACACACGCTATAGAAACGCAGTACACACGCAATATACACGCAGGACACTCGCAGGACGCACGCTGTACACACGCTGTACACACGCTGTACACACGCAGGACACACGCAGTACACACGCAGGACACACGCAGTACACACGCTGTAGAAACGCAGTACACACGCAGGACACACGCAGGACACACGCTGTACACACGCTGTACACACGCTGTAGAAACGCAGTACACACGCAATATACACGCAGGACACTCGCAGGACACACGCTGTACACACGCAGTATACACGCAGTATACACGCAATATACACGCAGGACACTCGCAGGACACACGCAGTATACACGCAATATACACGCAGGACACTCGCAGGACACACGCTGTACACACGCTGTACACACGCTGTACACACGCAGTATACACGCAATATACACGCAGGACACTCGCAGGACACACGCTGTACACACGCAATATACACGCTGTACACACGCAGTACACACGCTGTAGAAACGCAGTACACACGCTGTACACACGCTGTACACACGCTGTACACACGCTGTAGAAACGCAGTACACACGCTGTACACACGCTGTAGAAACGCAGTACACACGCTGTACACACGCTGTACACACGCTGTACACACGCTGTACACACGCTGTACACACGCAGTACACACGCAATATACACGCAGGACACTCGCAGGACACACGCTGTATACACGCAGTGTACACACGCAGTATACACGCAGGACACTCGCAGGACACGCGCAGTATACACGCAGTATACACGCAGGACACTCGCAGGACACACGCTGTACACGCAGTATACACGCAGTATACATGCAATATACACGCAGGACACTCGCAGTACACACGCAGTATACACGCAATATACACGCAGGACACACGCTGTACACACGCAATATACACGCAG